AAGATTGGGTGGGGCAACTGGTGGAGAGTAAGGTTTGTGCCTGGCTAGTAGGTCTAGACTCAACATTTTAAGCCCTGAGTTATAGCATCTACAAACTACTGTATGTATACTGGAATTTTTATTTATTTATTATAATAGTAATATCGGTGATCAGCAACTTATAGAGGGACTATGACAGTATGGCGGGCAATCTGACACTAACTGAAACTTTTGTGGAAACCAGTGACACTAAAACAGTGATCAGTGCTAATAATATACATTGACATTGTACTAATGACACTGGCTGGGAAGGGGTTGACATCTAGAGGCAATCAAAGGGTTAATTGTGTGCACAGTGCTTGATGCATTCACTCTGTGCTTTTCTACTAAGGGATGTGCTGATTTGTATTCCTTGCTTTGCAGGGAAACAAAAACCAGCACATCCCCGCTGACAGGACAGAGCTGTGTGTTGTTTATATTCACAGAGCTCTTTCCTGTCTTCCTCTTCACCAATCAGTGGGTCCCAGCCATCAGTCATTGGTCGTAACCAGCTGATCACTTTGTACTGGGTCTAATCACAGCACAGCCAGGGTGGCCGGCGCATGCACCCCCTACACGGAAGAGCTGGATCACGTATCATACTCATGTACTTCTACGTGAGGTGGTCAGCAAGCGGTAAATTTGGAAATTCATCCTGTGCAGTTTGGCCATGCCAGCACTCCAAGGGTAAATGCTTGTTTTTACTTTCCCAAATCTCCACCCCCAGCAAGTTGCACTACCCCACACTCTGGCAGTGGACTGTCCCTTGGTGTCATTATATACAATGGAGGGCTATGGACCCTGCATCGGCTTTCATGATGTCAAGGCCTTATACCACTGGATCATAGGGAAGAAGAGACTGCATTGACTGGAGGACCAGAGGATTGAATAACCAGATCTTCTTTTCTATGCCCCTAGACCTGAACAAGCAATGCAAGTGGTTGTAAACCCTTACATAAACCCAGTGAAGTGATCTGAGTGGTCTCAGGTGAAACACAGAGATGAAACAATTCTTCCTACATATGCTGTACCTGTTTTTCTGTAGCCCTCTCTCCTCTACATAAAGGTCCTGAATTTACACAGCATTTGTGAGCTTCAGAAGGCAGGGGGTTGGGGATTGGGGATGTTACACACTGCACAGCACAGAGCAGAGAGCTGAGTGTAATCTAAGACCCGAGTGCAGGAAAAGGACACACACACTTCTCTATGGAGTTTAATAAGGAAACATGCACACCTGAGGCTGTCAATCACCTGCTGTGTGCTGGAGAGGTTGCAGGGCCATCTAGTATCGGCATTGACTGTGAGAAGTGACTTACGTAGATAGAAGAGAATTTAGAAATGAGACACTAGGTGTTTTGGATTGAGGCTTTGGATTGAGGCTAGTACACATAATAGAAGGATGTGCTTTGTTCAGTTTTCATTTACAACCACTTGGAGTTTGGGTGCAGCTCCACTGCAAGGGAGAAATTTAAAGTTTACTGGAGTTAGCCTTTATATTCTCTTATTTGCTTCCTTTTGATCTGTTACATATACTGCAGAAGAATTGTGTTATATCTGTTCAGTATGTGCAATTACCTGTTGATCCTGCCAGAAATCCAATTCTGTCCTCTGTACTCTGCCATGTTATTTCAAACAATGTTATTAGGTAGTGTGTTGGGACCAAATAACATCTGCCCTCAACCCAGGTAATAAAGGGAAGGAGAGAAGGAGGTGTTCTGTAGTCCACGTCTGGAGCAAGCAGCCTAGGGTGAAAACACCCCTCCATGGATACAGTACAATGAGTGAGCATTGTCACCCTAGCACAGAAAATGTTACTGGCAGGATCACCTGTTGAAAATACAATGAAAGCATTGGATTACATTTTTGCTCTTGGGTTTAGCGACACTTTAACCACTTCAAGTCCGGACACTTTCCTGTCCAGTCCAATTTTTAGCTTTCAGTGCTATCACACTTTGAATGAAAATTGTGCGGTCATACAACACTGTACCCATATGAATTTTTTAGCATTTTTTGAGACAGATAAAACTTTATTTTGGTGGTATTTATTCACCACTGGGATTTTTATTTTTTTGCTATATAAATGAAAAAGTCCAAACATTTTGAAAAAAAAAGTGCTTTTCTTTCAAAATTTTGCAAATAAATAACCTTTCTTCAAAAAATCTTGGCCAAAATGTATTCAGCTATCTTTTCAGTAAAAAAAAAAAAATAACCCAAATTAGTTTAAAACCAAAAATTATAAATTTTTCAAAAATGTTTTTATATTTTTATTTAATTTTTTTATTATATTATTATTTATGTTTTTTTTTACATACTGTCACCCTAGCAGTACAGTGTCACCAAAGTGACATGTGTGCTGGGAGCACACATGTCTGGTAACGGAAAGGTCCTGATCTCACTACATATGTTTTTTTTAATAGGACGCAAATGTGTGGCCACTCAGCATCTATGCCCAGACACCGAGAGGCTGCACATTTGCGTGCAGCCGGTGCCAAGAGGTTAAAATATACTGAAGAACATATAAAAAAATGCAATGACAGACGGTCAGGTCCAGCAGGTGATACAATACACGTGGAAAGTGAAACCCTTGAAAACAAGGAAACAAGGTTTTTTACACCCAGTGGCTGGCTGAGAATCAAGGTGATGAGTTATTATTATTATTATTATTATTATTATACAGTATTTATAAAGCGCCAATAGTTGGCTCAGCGCTGTACATTACAAAGGGGGACAGAACATGTGACAGAACAATACCAATACAATGCAAAACATGAGGGGATTGAGGCCCTGCACTTTCGAGCTTACAATCTAGGAGGGAGGGGATGGTGGCACAGGAGGAGATAGCTGTGGGGGATGGAGTGGTAGGAAGAGTGAAGGAGGTCGGTCAAGTTAGCAGGGGGTGGGGGTAGGCTTCCCTGAAGAGGTGGGTTTTCAGGGTGCGCCTAAAGGAGAGGAGAATAGGTGATAATCTGATGGGTTGGGGCAGGGGAGTTCCAGAGGATGGGTGACACCCTGGAGAAGTCCTGGAGGCGGGCATAAGAGGAGGAGACCAGGGAACTAGAGAGAAGGAGGTCTTGTGAGGAGCGGAGTGTGCGTGCTGGGTGGTACTTGGATATTAGGTCGGTGATGTAGTTTGGGGCAGTATGGTGGACAGCTTTGTACGTCAGTGTTAGGATTTTGAATTTGATCCGTTGTGCAATCGGAAGCCAGTGGAGGGATTGGCAGAGGGGGGTGGCGGAGACAGAGCGGTTGGAAAGGTGAATGAGTCTGGCAGCCGTATTCAGGATGGACTGAAGCGGGGATAGCCAGTGGCGAGGCAGGCCAGTGAGGAGGGAGTTGCAGTAGTCGAGCCGTGATATGATGAGGGAGTGGATGAGCTGTTTAGTGGTTTCTGGGGTTAGGAACGTGCGGATTTTGGCGATGTTGCGGAGGTGGAGTCTGCATGAGTTTGTTAAAGATTGGACTTGGGGCTGGAAGGATAGGTTGGAGTCCAGAATGACACCAAGTACTCTGGCCTGCGGGGCGGGTTTGATGGTGGCGTTGTTGGACGTGATGGAGAAGTCAATGGGGGGTGGGGTCCGGGCTGGGGGGAAGACAAGAAACTTGGTTTTGGAGAGGTTCAGTTTAAGGAAGTGGAGCGACATCCAGTCTGATATGTCGCTCGGTAGGTATGTGATTCGGGCAGAGACTGAGGGGGTGAGGTGGGGTGTTGCGAGATAGATTTGTGTGTCATCGGCATATAGGTGGTAGTTGAAGCTGTGAGAGTGTATGAGTTGGCCAAGGGAGGAGGTGTAGATGAAGAAGAGAAGGGGCCCGAGGACAGAGCCTTGAGGGACCCCAACAGAGAGGGGGAGGTGGTAGCATTATAGGTAACATGTTTTGCGATAATGATCACTTCTTTGGGAGCCATTGGCTCCCACTGTTGTCAATCGCAGCCAGTCAGCCAATGAGGAGAGAGGGAGGACAGAGCCAAGCCACAGCTCCGTGTGTGGATGAACACACGGAGCAGTGGGTGCCACCGAAAACAAGCTGCTTGCTGTGAGGGCACCTGACAGACAGGAGGAGCCAGGAGAGCCTGAGGAGGATGCGAGAAGAGGAGGATTGGGGCTGCTCTGTGCAATATCACTGCACAGAGCAGGTAAATATAGACATGTTTGTTATTTAAAAAAAAAAAATTAACATTTAGAATCGCTTTAATGCATAGAATGAATTAAGGTAAAAAAATCTTCTGCCTTTAGCACTACCTTAGAAGATGGTTAGCTAGAAATGCTAGGGGTGTGTCTTTCAAAGTGACTTCTCAACAAAATAAATTTGGAGACATGGATGGATGGAGTTTGTGTTGACTATTAAAAGCAAATTAAATAGCATTTTCGGTTTGTGGTCCTGAGACATAGTTAAGTTCCACTTTAATTCAGCCAGTGCATAAAGCAATACAGCAGTTCTGGTGTTCCGGGACTCCCCCCCGTTGCCCTAGGTGCACCATAAGGTATCTTTATAAAACAAATACTCCAGTATATTTTCAGTATGGCTGTAATTTGATAGAAGAGAGTGTACAACTCAATAAAATCTATAGAGAACAGACTACACGTTCTACCCACCCACATTCTTATTATCCAATTTGGGAGATTCCTGGCCTATAACAAATAGCTGTGGCCCACACTAGCAGATTGCAGTGTCAGAGAGCAGCCTACGAACCAACAGAATTGGCTAAATCCAGATGGAATACTGGGCTTAATGACAACAGTATTGCAGACAATGAGCTGGAGATGGAACAGAACGAATTGTGCCCACGTTCCTAAAGAAAAACATGATTTGGACGTTGCCTTCATTCTATCACCCAACTGTGTTCACAAAAACTAAACAATGTTTTGACAAATAGCTTTTTTTAATCAAAACATGTTTTTTTTAATTAAAAGGAAACTCTATGTTTGAAGTGTTACTAAACCCACAACAGTAAAATCAGTCTGTATATGCAGTAAAGCATGCTTGTTATACTCACTGTGGAACCTAAGAAGTTAATCTTCCACACTGTGTAAAAAGGCTGTTTGATCCTGACTTCTCTGATCCTCCCCTTCTTCCACTGTCCTCAATCCATCTGTTGATAGAACAGAGCCTTGGGGGCAAGCTGCACATGTTCAGTTTAGTGTGTATTGCAAGAGAATTTTTTTTTCTTGGAAGAGTGCATGTGATCAGCACAGGGCCAATCAGCACTGTCCAGACAGAGGTCAGAGGTCCTGACTTCTCTAATCCTCCCCTTCTTCTACTGTCCCCAATCCATCTGCGGTAGTACAGAGAAGCAATGGCAAATCTTCACATGCTTTGTATTGTGTGTATTGCTAGAGAGGTTTATTTATTTATTTATTTTTTTGGGAGGATGCATGTGATCGGCACAGGGCCAATAAGCACTATCCAGACAGAGGGTCAGGGGTCATGCAGCCTCATAGGACAGTCAGAGGAGAATGAGAACTCCTCCTATAGGATTGACCAGTGCTCAACCGGACCCTTATAGAAGTCACACGACTGTTATATACTGCTGATGAGAAAAGGTATTTAGCAGTTTATGTTTACTAAATAATTCAATTTCCATGTTGTGTGTACTGTGGGAGACTGGATATAGTGAATGCAGGGTCTGGGGTTAAGTTGAAGTTCAGGTATGGCAGTTGTTAAATAGTTATATTGGTCTGGCTTGGACTAATATACGTGTATATGAACCATACCAGTGGGATCTCCATGGAAGCTGGAAATCAATTACTAAGTACTGCTACTCCAGTGATATTCACTAGATTCCATGTCCTGTGCTAAGTGGCTGCCCTTCTGTATTGTCGCTCACTCAGCATGGGAGGCATTAAGGAATGCTTTGCATTTTTTCAATGAATGTAAAGTGTTCTTTGATTGGATGAGGTGGAGAGGCAGGATGGCGACATGACAATATCTATCCTGTCTAAATTAGCCCTAGTATTTGTATGTATAAATGTGAGTTAGGGAACGTTTGTTCATTGTATGCCCCTTGAGGGCTAGGGACTGATATAATAAATGTTGCCTCAGCAGGTGTTAGCTATTCACAGAGACAGGGCTTAGGAAAGTCATTATCTTCTTACACTTCAATAGATGTTAAAAAACATCCTCTGTGCTGAAATTAGATGAAGAAAAATTGTGTTGGATTTAACGTCTGTGTATTATTAAAGAGTTAAGCTGTCTGTGGAAGGTGCCAAATCAGCAGGTGACAATATAGTCCAGACAGACTGGGTCTAAGGAGGTAAGTAAATGTATAAACTGGCACTTGAAACAGAACAGAACATTTGCACCTAAGTTTTCAGCTCTACTCATCTACTATCATGCATCTTCATTCTTTCCCATCTTTAATCAGGTGCATGGTTATAGTTTGGAGTGTAAGGCTCACTACATCCAATGAAAACTAAATTATTATTTTTTGATGGACTTAGCATATAAATGACTAGCTGAACCCCTTGACGCCGACATAACACAAATATGCGGACTCACATAACTGGGCTTTTTTTCCGTGCGGCCTGCGTACCTGTCTTTGTGCTCCCAGCACAAAAACTGGGGTGTCACTGAGAGCACTGGGTCCCGTTCTAATGATCGGGACCTGGGACTCCCGATTCCGGGTCACATGATCGCTGTGATAGCCTCTTATTAACTATCACAGTGATAAGTCACTGTACAGCTTGGCCCCCTTGGTTTTTTCTCTCTCTATGAATGGAGGACAGAGATACATTGTATCTCTCTAACTCCTGGCATAGATGGAAAAAAAATGTTTGTAAAAAAAAAAAAAAGAGAGATAAATAAATATTTAAAAATAAAAGAAAAAATACCTAGATCAAGGTTTGATCTAGTTCAGTGCCAGGGTTAGTATTTGCGTCAAGGTTAAGGTCAAAAGTCAAGGCCAAAAGGTCAGGGTCAAAGGTCAGGATTTAAAAAAAAATTGGTATCAGTGTCAGTTAGTGTCAAAATCAGTGTGTTTTATGTAAAAAAAAAAAAAGACAAAAACAAAATGCACACTATTGTTTCTAGGCTGTACTAAGGGGTACAAACAACAAATAGCATACACATATATGGTATCGCTGCGATTGTCAAGAGCTGGCGAATTTACTTTGTGTTGTGCCTTGGTAGTAGGTTATGGTAGTAACAAGAAACACACAGCTAAATAAAAATTTTTTTTTTTTACTATTTTGGGCTAGTTTTCAAACCAGGAGATATCCATTACCATTTACCACCAAATGAAAGCCCAATTTGTCCTGAAAAAAACAAGGTATAATTCACCTGGATGTACAAAGTAGTTGTGATGATATGTACGGTTTTGCTAACACATGTCAACGTTGCAAAATTGTGCTTAGGCATTAAGATTTGTTTTACCCTTACGTGTGAAGGGGTTACAATGTATGCACAGCCATTTTCTATGGAAAATTTTAGAAGCTTTGTTAGGATATTATTGCTGTTTTGTGCCCCCACTAGGTTGATTCAATTAAAAGCTGTTAATAGGTTGTTCACAAAGAATTTACACTTTGTAAAGGAAATTTTTTCTTAGCCTAGTGAATGTGATATAAATGAACTTTGCAAAGAATGCCCAATGACATGCACAATGAAAATTAAAAAAAAACAAAACAGTATTTTTGCTTGCCAATGACTGGATAATGGAAGTTAGCAGAGATTCACTTGATTCACTAAGCTTGGGGGAAATCACCCTGAAGTAAACAGCTTTTTTGCCTTTATTAAATCAACCTTATCATCTCTATAAAACTGGTGAAAAGGGAAAATCCCAAGTTTTGAGTTGTCAACAGAAGAGAAAAAAAAGTCTTCCAATGGTGAATTCCCCTCTCTTTGAGGAAATTTCCTCTTCCTTCTTGTTGCATCTCTGGGACTCGAAGTAAAGGAAAATCACCCCAACGGGACACAAACAGCTAAAAACACACTGACATGGCTTATAACCCTTCCCTCCCCAAAACTAAAACCCCTTTAACTTGGCAGTTGCCTTTTCATAGGCTATTTGAAAAATTAAGGAATTTTAAAGTTATGTTCATAAAGTTGTACTTACATTTTATTATATTTTACAGAATAGTTGCGGATAGAAAATGAAAATCATATTATTCAATAAATATTTAAGGTTGAAGAGAGGTTGAGTCTCAAGAGACTCAACAAATATCAAAGTCATGATCCGGCTTCTCTTGACTTTTTAAATACAATCTGAGACCTATGTTATGATATTTAACATCTGAAAATGAAAAGTGACCTTTGATGATGGAAAAAGGACAGTGGAAGAATGATGAATCAGAAATGACATCTCATGAATGAAAATAGCTGGAAGAACTTTGTCTAAGTTAAACTTAAGGAGGCCAATCCCCAGGTAAACAGCTAAAAACACTGTCCAAATAATAATAGAAGATAATAGCACAGAATAATAATAATAATAATATATGTCTAGCCATATATTTATAGCCTTCAAAAGATTTGTGTATGCTTTCAACCAGTCTTGTGATCCAGACACCCCTGCCAGACAGTACAGTGCGGTCCGGCATTTGCTTTGTCCTCCCTGTAGACTGTGCTGCAGCTGTCCCAGCCTGTCCCAGCCTGTGATTGGAGGATGAATTAGCAGAATCACACTGATAAGGTCATATTTCTGCTCTCTTCTCCTGTTTGTGTTAGGGTTCATGTACACGAGGCGTTTGGAAAACTCCTCTGACTACTGGAAACTGACTGCTAGAAAATGTAGGTTAAAAAACGTCAGTTTAGCAGCGTTTGCATACCGCGTTTATGTGCGATTGTGTTTAGAAGCATTTTTAAAAGATAACCTCAGCAGACCCTCCCAAAATATTATTATTATTATTATACAGTATTTGTATAGCACCAAAGGGTATGCTCAGCGCTGTACAGTAGCAAGGGGGACAGTACATGAGACAATACAGTAACAATACACGAGGGGTTCGAGGGCCCTGCTCTTTTGAGCTTACAATCTAGGAGGGAGGGGAAGGTGGTGCAGGAGGAGATGGCTGTGGGGGATGGAGTGGTGGGAGGAGTGGAGGAGGTTAGTTGTTAGGTGAGGTCGGGTGTTAGGTGAGGTTGGGGTAGGCTTTCCTGAAGAGATGGGTTTTCAGGGTGCGCCTGAAGGTGAGGAGGGTAGGTGACAGTCTGATGGATTGGGGTAGGGAGTTCCAGAGGATGGGGGAAGTCCTGGAGAAGTCCTGCAATCGGGCATGGGAGAAGGAGACCAGGGAGCTAGAGAGTAGGAGGTCTTGTGAGGAGCGGAGGGCACAGGTAGGGTAGTATTTGGGTATCAGGTCAGTTATGTAGTTCGGGGCGGCATTGTGAATGGCTTTGTAGATGCCTAGAATGCACTGAATGCACTGAAAAATAGTAAATAATTAACTATTCCAGACATTTTGAGAGAAATAGAGAGAGCAGAAGCAGAGAGAGCAGTATGTGTTGAGATAACCTGTCTTTTTTGGTTGTATTCACTATGGATCCCATCATGAGCATAATGCAGCACGTTCTACCATTTTTTTCCTTCATGCAAAACCTGGAACTGACCATTTGCATACATGGAAAATGTTTTGCATGCATTTTTGATGAAGAAAAAAGGCTCTGGACAGCATTTGGATATGGACCTGTCAAAAAACCTGTCTAAACGCAAACGCTGGTAAATGTGGATAACCGCGTTTAAAAGCGTTTACATGTGTTTATAAGCATTTGGCATTTGAAACGCCGGTAAAATCTACTCCTGAACGCAATTGTGGTGCGTTAAAAAACACAACTGTAAACTCAACTGCCTGTAAACAACTGTAAACGATGATGTGTACATGGACACATAGGAAAACATTAGGGAGAGTTCAGGGGCTGCTGAAAAAAATGCTGAACAGCTCCTGAATGTCAGTTTAGCAGCCGCAGTGTACATGAGCCCTTAGATGGATTGGCTGACACTGCCGGTCTTTCCTCTCCAAGTCTATCTACTGTAATATACAGAGAATCGCAGGGAGCTGATATGAAGATCTATCAATGTAGCTTTGTAGCTTTGCAAGCTGTGTGTAGCTTTGCAAACATTTAACAATTGTTATAATGAAGCCAGAGCTGACTTTTTTTTTAAATATATGCCTGAGGTTCCCACTTAAGGACCAGTTGCCTTATAGCAAAAAATGGCCTGGTCATGCAGGGGGGTAAATCTTCTGGAGGTCAAATGGTTAAGAGAACTGTATACATTGAAGCATGATGCCAAGAAAATCCAAAAATTGATTTTGGGTTCTCATAAACCTTGTGATTGAATACTATGCATGAAGTTAAAACACCTTCTGTGTGCAGCAGCCCCCCCCCCCAATACTTACCTGAGCCCCATCACGAACAAGTGATGTGCCCAAGAACTTTAGCTGTCTGGGGACTCTCTCTCCTCATAGGCTGAGACAGCAGCAGGAGCCATTGGCTCCTGCTGCTGTCAATCTCATCTTGTGAGCCAATGAGGAGAGACAAGAGGGCGGGGCTGAGCCGCAGCTCTGTGTGTGAATGAACACACCGAGCATTGGCTCGGGAGCGAGCCTACTTGGCTGTCCT